GGCTCCTGATAAAATATATTTAAAGACTCTTTTTGAAATGAGCTCTGGGTTTGTGGATGTTTCCTAAAATTCCCATCTATACCTTTCTCATCTATTTACTTAAGAGACTCAAGTGAGGAGCAAAATTCAAATTTCTTGGTGGTGAATCTCACTGGATGCTCCCTTGCATTTGTCTTCAAGATGGACAATGGAGACCTCATAGATCACCTCACAAGATTGTTAGATGTTAACCATGTGATATCTGGGAGATGGGATTACACAGGTAATTTTAATTTTCTTCTCTGTGCTTTTCTGTATTTAGCAAAAAAAAATTTTCTTTCTTTTTTTTTTTTTGGCAGCTGACCAGTACAGGCATTGAACCCTGGATCTTGGTGTTACCAGCATTATGCTCTAACCAACTGAGCTAACCGGCCAGCCCCCTGTATTTAGCAAATTTTCTGTAGTGAGTATGCATTTCTTCTATAATAAGGGCAGAGTGGGGGAGGAAACCTAACCAACCCACCATGTGAACTTGGGCCAGCCCGTGGCTCACTTGCTGATAAAACCAAGGCCACGGGTTCAGATCCCTATGGATCCCTAGGGATGGCCGGTTGGCTAACTTGGGGGAGCGTGGTCCTGACAACACCAAATCAAGGGTTAAGATCCCCTTACTGGTCATCTTAAAAACAAACAAACAAACAAACAAACATTTGAACTTGATAACACCAAGGTCCACAGTGAACTTCAGCTATATGTGTAAAAAGAATACTGAGAGGTGTGTGATGGGCCTCTTCTTCTTCCACTCAACCCAAGTCAGAAGGAAGTAGATACAGAAAATAGACCTGAACATAAATATGACCAATATGCCTCAGACCCATCAAAAACAGCCTCAGATACCAAGTTCCTGCTTCAGCCATATGATTCATGCTTCTCTTAGAGGTAATTCCTGCTAGTCCAAAGCTGGAGGGAGGGGTGCAGGAGTAAAATGTAAGCATTCTTGTCTAGGAGCCTTTTAACTTTAACCTGGACACATTTTTCCATCTTGTCTTGGTATATTAAAAAGGTTTTCAAAGGAAAAACTGAGAACTCAGAAAAATTCTCTGTCAGTTTTCAAGATCCTGGAATTCCATAGCTAGATTGCCTCACCAAGCATGTTCTAATTTGTACGGAATGATTAATCATTTTATTATTCAACCTGCCATAACCCGAGGACCTTGCGCTCCTGGAACCCTCTCTTTTCTTCCTTTTTCAGTGATTCTCTCTCCCCGGGTGGAAAAATATAGTTGTGAAAACAGAGAAATCGATTCACATAGAAATAACTATAAAAGTTCCGGAAGGCTGGACAAACCACAAGACTAGTAATTTCAGCCTTCCAGTGATTGTAGTTATTGTGCTTAGGAAGAAACTCCTCCCTTCCTGACCTTATCAACTCCTCCCCCTGCTACCCCCATTACTGTCCTATTTTTGCAAGGCCAAGGAATCTCTTGAAATGGGATTTCTTTTCATTTAGGAATCAAAAGTAAACATTTTGAAGTCCCCTTTTTTTTTTTTTTTTGGTGGCTGGACAGTACAGGGATCAAACCCTGGATCTTTGTGTTATTAGCACCACACACTAACCAACTGAGCTAACCAGCCAGCCCTAAAGCCACTTACTCTAAAGACCTCTTTTTCCTTAGTCTTTAATGATAATCTCAGCCCTGGGGGTTAGAGGTGGGTGCTAGGAATCTAGCCAACCAGTTGAGTATAGGAGGTAGTATTACATCTACATAATTAGGAGTTGACTAACGGGACTCAATCTCAAAGCCCAGTTTCCTGTCTGTCACACCCACTTACAAAGGAGAATCACAGGATCTTAGAATTGAAAGAAGCCTTTTCAGATTTTCTAACCTCTTCACTGTAGGAGGGTACTGCAGAAAGTTCATGGAAAATGCAATTAAAAGATAATATAAATCGTTCCATGAACTTTTTGAAGACTCCTTGTACAGATGAAGCAGCTCAGGCTCACAGTCCTTATTGCAGTGACTGTTACCCCGTAGGTACTCAGTAACTACTGTATTTGTTTTGTTTTTTGACTAAGTGGCTCAAAATGACCAGTCCCTACTAGAATACAAGCTTCCCAGTTTCAAAACTATTTTTTTTAAAAAGATGACCGGTAAGGGGATCTTAACCCTTGACTTGGTGTTGTCAGCACCACGCTCACCCAGTGAGCAAACCGGCCATCCCTACCCTATATGGGATCCGAACCCGTGGCCTTGGTGTTATTAGCACCGCACTCTACCGAGTGAGCCACGGGCCGGCCCAAAACTATTTTCTTTCCACTCTATAACACTGAGTTATTTACTTCCATTGGTTCTATTATAAAGTCATGATAGCCATAAATTTTATTTACTTTTTAAAATAGTTTTATTGAGGGCCAGCCTGTGGCTCACTCGGGAGAGTGCGGTGCTGATAGCACCAAGGTCACGGGTTCGGATCCCATATAGGGATGGCCGGTTTGCTCACTGCGTGAGTGTGGTGCTGACAACACCAAGTCAAGGGTTAAGATCCCCTTACTGGTCATCTTTAAAAAAAAAAAAAAAAAAAAAAAACTTTATTGAGATATAATTCACATCCATGCAATTCAGCCATTTAAAGTGTAAAATTCAATGCCTTTTAGTATATTTAGAGTTAGGTATACATCACTACAATCAATTTAGAACATTTTCATCATCCCCCACAAACACCCTGTACTCATTAGTAGAGTAACTCCCATTAGCGTTCTCATTACCAGTTGCACTCTCTCATGCCCCCCAGCCCAAGGCAACCACTAATTTATTTTCCATGTCTATAGATCTGGCTATTCTGGACATTTCACATAAACAGTAACTATACAATATTTGGTCCCTTGTGACTGGTTTCTTTCACTTAGCATAATGTTTTCAAGGTTCATTCATGATGTAGCATGTGTATGTTTAAATTGCTGAATAATATTTCATTGTATGCCTACACCACGTGTTATTTATCCATCCATCAGTAGATGGATATATAGCTGAATTTTATCTTTTTTCTTTTTTTTTTAACTTATGAAGAAGTTTATTTGGCTCATGGCTCATGGAGGCTGGGAAATCTAAGAGCAGGGGGCCAGTATCTGGCATGGGTAATTCCATGGTGAAAGGGCAGAAGGCAGAAGGACACTGAATTTTATCTTAAACAATTACGTGTGATCTCTGCTAACTACCAGAAGCTTAAAACCAAGACATAAATATCTATGTTGAACTTATACCAAAACAAGCAAACGTACTTGTTATGAAACGACTTAATTATAATCTTATATCTGAAAATTGACAGGCATTTTTTTCTCTAAAAATTAAAAAAAAATTTTTTTTGACAGCTGGAGGGAACCCCGGACCTTGGTGTTACTAGCACCACGCTCTAACCAACTGGGCTAACCAGCTGGACCTCTAAATTTTCTGTTGTGTATAATAATATTGTGGAAAGACAAAGTAAAGCCTTGCCCGAAGTTTCCTGCTCTTCTGACTCCCAGGAAAATATAGACACGTCACACACAGGTAGGTATATAGGTAGATTGCCTGAGTGACAGACCTCAGGAAGACAAAAGAGAAAAAAGAGATTCAGAATAAGACTTTTTCTGGTTTTCTAATGTGAGGTTAAGAAGAGAAAGGGCATTTGCGGCTCACACCCAACTAGTTAGTCGGCATTCCTATAACCCATATACACAAACAGTACAAGGTGGATGTGGTGTGAGACTGAGAAAGGGAGAAAGCACACTCTTTCGCTCAACCTCCATACTGTTTTTATGGGTCTCCAGGGGGGTCAAGAGTGGGAGATTTCGGGGGACTAGTTCATGCTTGGTGGGAAGAACTTGAACACCAAGTTGAGGGTACTTATGATCCCGGTAGGTGGTTGATTCCCCCTACTAAACCCTGTTCATTAAAGTCCTGCTTTCCCTCCCCCTATTCTTAGAAGAGTAGGTGCCGCAGAACTCCTGAGTCACCTGCGGCAGAGACGGGGCTTTTGGGAGTGTCTTCTGCCTTATATTCTGACACTAGATGAGAACAAGGGGAAATGATCCTTGACTCACCCCGCCCTAGGTTTGGGCGTTGTATCATTCCCCACACGTGACGCTCTCCCCGGCAGCGCGACTTCAAGTATCATGGGACTTATTCATCCCAGTGACTCCACCCCTTTCCTCCTCTCCTCAAACTTCCACTTAACCTGCTCCGCCCCTCTTCGGAGAGGAGGGCAGCTGGAGGCTGGAGATGCCACTCTCCTACATTGGCCGGGAGACGCAGAGAAACTCAGATGTGGGAAAGTGCAAGATGTGGTGTCACAGTTTTACCCTTCACCAGAAGGCTTTGCATTTCCTGTTTTAGGTTATCCTTACTCTTCCCTACCCCAACAAGTTCTACCGGACTCGAGACCACCTTAGGCAGACCCCCTCCTGGTTACGGTTGTTTCCCCTCCTTCTGTTTTCCATTTTTCTTTTAGCCCGTTATTCTCAGAAGAACCGCTTTCAGTCTCGGCTCAGCCTCTCTCCCGTTCTAGCTGCGTGACCTCGAGTGAACCACAATGTTTCTGGGCCTAGTTTCTTTGTCTGTGAAACGGCGGCCAGACGTCTACCGCACCACGCCTGTTGTGAGGATAAAACGAAAACGCGTTTTGTGAGCTGTAAAAAGCAATAGAAATGTTAGTTATGTTAATTCCGGACTGCTAGTCACGCTTCCAGAACCCCTCCCTTTCCTTTGGGATCTCCCTGCAAAATCCGCCTTGGGCCGCCCCTTCTCTCCGCGCTCCGCTCACCGTCTTTCCCATTGGCAACCGCAGCGCCCACGCGGCGCCGGGTATTAACGCCACTATCCCGCTCCGCGGGCGCGCACGATGACGTATAGCCCCGCCCCCGGCCGCGCCTGGCCTCCCGCGGGGCCCCGCCCATCGAGCCGACGCGGCGCCGGGCCGGTCCCGTGCGGGCCCGTGCCGCCCCTCAGCCGGCGACGCCCGGGGCCGCCCGCCCGCCCGCCACCATGGAGCTGGAGGACGGTGTGGTATACCAGGAGGAGCCCGGTGGCTCCGGGGCCGTGATGTCGGAGCGGGTGTCCGGCCTGGCCGGCTCCATCTACCGCGAGTTCGAGAGGCTCATCGGGCGCTACGACGAGGAGGTGGTCAAGGAGCTGATGCCGCTGGTGGTGGCCGTGCTGGAGAACCTGGACTCGGTGTTCGCACAGGACCAAGAGCACCAGGTGGAGCTGGAGCTGCTGCGGGACGACAACGAGCAGCTCATCACCCAGTACGAGCGGGAGAAGGCGCTGCGCAAGCACGCCGAGGAGGTGAGGGCCGGCGGGCAGGGAGGGCGGAGGCCGCGGGATCCGGCCCGAGGGTCGCGGCCCGGCCGGGGACGGAAGGCGCGCCGGGCCTCTTGGACGGCGGGCCTGAGGCCGAGCCCCCCGGGACCCAGCCCGGCGGCCTGGGGGGACCCCGGGATCCCGCCCGGCGTTGGAAGCTGAGGCAGGCTAGTGAGTGTCCGGGAGGAGTGAGATGGGGGAGACAAGGCCCGGGGAGAAAGCGACAGCCTGGCTTGAGGGGCACCTGGGGTTGGCCGATTTTAGGGTGTCTGGTTGCTTCTTGTTGTTTAGGGAAGTTTCCGACCACCGTAATATAGTCAGGTGGCGGTTCAAACTTTTACCATTGGGGAGGGGGCAACTTCTGTCCTGGTGTGTAACTTCCGCTGGTTCCAGTACCTTTCCAGGGGGTTGCTGCTGCTTTGTGAAGTTAGAGATCTCCCTCTTTCGGTCAGTTTCTTCTTGACGTTTTAATCCTGTTGAGAAAGGAGGTTTTCGTTTATGTTCTATGTGCCTTGGTTGACAATTTGTCAACACCTAGATGTTGTATAGCAATGCCCAATAAATATATAGACTATACAATTTTTATTTTATTGGTGTCCCACATCAAAGCATTCTTCCATATCAGGTGGTAACCTTGGACAGTTCCCTACAAAAACCCTCTGTTTATTTATAAAGAGTACTGGTGGGGCGGGGTTGTGGAGGTGTAGGTGACTGTTGGCAACACTTTCCCGTCTGAGTTTCCTTCTCAGGCTCCAGTTTAAAAGTGCACTTGTCAGGCTGTTAGCTCTAGCATCTGAGCAGTGGCCTTGGTGCCCTCACCTTGAGTCTGTGAAACTTTTGGAGCACTGGGGTGCAAGTGATAGGTCCTTGGCTTGAGAGTGTAAAGGATTTTAGCTTTCAGGCTGTGTTCCATTATTTCTGTGGAACTTATCTAAGGTAGGCAAAATGTCCTGTTTATCCTATTTGCTTCTCAAGCATCTACAAGTAGCACTCCTGGCTAAATACGTGGAGATCGAAGGAGGCTAAATAATTATTGAAGGAACGACGTGTTAGTTTTCAAAAATACTTGAAAAGTTTTTCAGAGATTTGTTTAGAAGCTCATTTCCTAACACTAAACAGTAACACCGTTTAAACTTTGTTTTGTCGCATATACCTTTGCACCCGCTTAAGTAGTTCTTTTTTCAAGCTTGATTTTTAGTTCTGCTTTTGCTATCTGGTTGTCTCAATGGAATGCCATTGAATTTGTCAAACAAAATTGACTTCAGTTTAAGAATATTTCCAAGTACGTAGGGAAGGAAGTGTTGAAACAGCAAATAAAGATGGGAATTACAGTTTCTAGTAGTTTATTAGCACTGTTTATAGAGCTGAGGTCAAGTACTACTTCTGAGATGGCTTGCTGCTGCTTCATGCTCATACAGGCCCTTGCCAGTGTGTGGTTGTCCGTGGAAGAGACTAGGAATCAGCCACATATACACACAGCAGGCCCAGCCCGACCTGTCACCTCTGGTAAAATAAATGCTCCCTCAGCCTTAAACTTCTGTCAGTCCATATACACAAGGGCAAAATGCCAAGGTCAAACATGCCAAGAAAGTCATCTGCCACAGGTTGCAGAATCCGAAAATAAAACTGACTAACTGCTAGGCTCTGGGTTTTATATTAATTTCTTAAGTAAATGACTTCTTAAAAGTAGTTTATCCAAGGAGCTTCTTTGTAGTTTATACTTTTTCAGTCACATCTATAACTTCTCCATAATGAAACCTTTGGGTAAAGGGCCATGACCTGAGAATGCAGAACACTGATGAAATGCTAGATGAGCCAGTTCTCACACCATGAACATAAAATCACCTTATCAGTCTTCATGTAAGATCATAAATCGAGTTTTGCCTAGTACCCAGAAATTCAGTCTCTCTTAGGCCAATATGCAGACTGAATTCTGTGTTTAATTTTCTGAGTGCTTTATTTGTGCATTTTATATGGAGACTATGTATATGCTATTACAGAAAAGTGCCTCAGGGTATTTACAGCAAAAGTAATTTGAAATCATGGAAATTGACATTACCAGAGAGTGTGAAGTAAATTCTGAGCACCTTTGTGGAAATTTAGGAGGGTTTTTAAATGGTGAGAATGTTTATGAGGGCATATAAAAGGTGAGAATGGAAGTGTGTGAGGTGCTATAATCTATCGTTTGCTGGAATTTTCAGCAAGGAATCAGAACTTTAATCTTTATTATAATGATAGGACTTAATTTGAATACTTTCTGTCTTTTTCTTTGCTTTTATTCAAATTCCCTTACGTGGAGTTAGTCTGCTGTTTTGGTGATTCTATAAAAATAACTGATTTTAGGTAGATTTGGACCAGTTTCAAATACTAATCAAGAAATCCATCATCTCATCACCCAGCACTCTTCCCTTTGGGCTCCCTGTCCCAGTCTTTTCATTCTTTAACCAAGCCTGTCTAACATCTTCACTCATGCTGTTCCCTTGCCCTAGAATGCTCTTCCCCTGGATCTCCTCATTTCTGCTGAGCTTAAATTTCACCTTTTCAACAAGACCTTCCTGTCTGCTCTATCCAGAATAAGCCTGTGAATCTACTGAATAATTTGTTTTTGTCAGTGATTTTTTAAAAAAAATAAAAATTGGATTAAAAAAATCTGGATAGAGGGCCGGCCCGGTGGTGCACTGCGCTAGTGCACCGCTTGGGAAGTGCGGCTGCGCTCCCGCCGAGGGTTCGGATCCCACATACGGACCGGTTCCCACTCACTGGCTGAGCGAGGCGCGGGGGCAACACCGAGGGTTGCGATCCCGTTGCCGGTTCCCAGTCCGGTACGGGGGCAATACTGTGGGTTGCGATCCATTGCCGGAAACGGAAAAAAAAAAAAAAAAAAAAAAAAAAAAATCTGGATAGAAAATGACCTGTAGGGAGATATTATTCTTGGGTATGTTTATTTTTTATATGTTTTTGTTTGTTCAAGTTCTGATTCTTTTAAAATAGGTATGATTTCTTTTCATTAATTAATTAATTAATTAATTAATATTGTTTGCTTTTTGGTGGCTGGCCTGTAAGGGGATCTGAATACTTTACTTTAAAAAAAGAAAACTTCTATGGCCGCCCGTGGCTCACTTGGGAGAGTGTAGTGCTGATAGCACCAAGGCCATGGGTTCAGATCCCTATATAGGGATGGCTGGTTGGCTCACTTGGAAGAGTATGGTGCTGACAATACCAAGTCAAGGGTTAAGATCCCCTTACTGATTTTGCTTAAAAAAAATGGAGGTGATTAAATGCAGAGGTGAGAGATACTACTGAGAATTTTGTAATTAGTTTTTCTCCAATGACTCAGCACTTAAAGCAGTAACAAAATTGTTTTATATGAAAACTTTAATGAAGTTGTTTTCTTTGGAAGTATATATGAATGGGAGGGATAAGACTTCTGGGTGGGAAAATAGGCATTGATATTCAATTTTTTTATTTGATGTTATAGTTTTCATTCACAAAAATATTTTAATTAAAACTGTTGAGGAAGGGCCGGCCTGTGGCTCACTCGGTAGAGTGCGGTGCTGATAACACCAAGGCCGCGGGTTCGGATCCTATATAGGGATGGCCGGTTTGCTCACTGGCAGAGCGTGGTGCTGACAACACCAAGCCAAGGGTTGACATCCCCTTACCGGTCATCTTTTAAAAAAAAAAAAAAAACTGTTGAGGAAGTTAATTTTGTTTTGTTTACGAAATAATTTACAACGACGTGTAAATTATTCCCTAATAAACATTTAGAAGGGAAAATTTGAAGACTTTTCACTGAGTTTTGTGACTTATATGAAGAGACAGGAGTGAAGGAGTAATTTTACATATATACTTATTAAAATTATTGATGGTGGCTATTAAGGATTTAGGAAGTTAAAAGGCAGACATCACACTGTTACTTCAACATTTAGTTTATTTTGTGCCTTTAGCACAAATCACTTGTATTTACATTAGTAATTATGATGGTTCTGGTTTTTTTAGCCTTAATTCCGTCAACTTCAGTGTCCTAAGAAACTTAATTTTGCTATTATATAGGTTTTATTTCACTACAGTGGAGCAACATGTGAAAGGCAGTTCAGTTATGTGCACAGATGAGCTATCAGTACAAAGAACCAGTTGCTAGCCCATGGTATGTTAACATTTGGTTGGCATCTTACATGTTTGAGTATACATGTTACTTATTAAAGTTTTCAAACTCATTTTAAAACTAGTGGCATGGAGCATGTAGCTCAGTGGTAAAGCGCATGCTTGTATGTATGAGGTCTCAGGTTCCATCCCTGATATGTCCAGTTTCTTATGGGTTGGCCGGTTAGCTCACTTGCTTAGAGAGAGCATGGTCAAGGGTTCCGATCCCCGTACAGGACAGTAACACAGACATACACACAGAAAAACAAAACACTGAAGCCGCTCTGGTACCTGTTCAGTGGCTTTTGAAAACCAGTACCTTGTGGTATCATCAGTAGACTAAAGGTTTTTGATCTAAGAATTATCTCAGGTGCTGACTTAATTTCTTTATTGGTTCAGCTAGAGAAAGGGTCAGCAGTGCTTTGGAATGTTATGTTATATTCTGATTTATTCATTTAAATCTTAGTTATAGAATGCTCATAATACATTTTAGTGCTTCATTCATCTCTGTAAATTACTTTGTACATACAGCTAATACTTTTTAAAACATGCTTCATATTTTTTATTTATTTATTTTTTTAAAAGATGACTGGTAAGGGGATCTTAACCCTTGATTTGGTGTTGTCAGCACCACGCTCTCCTAAGTTAACAACCGGCCATCCCTATATAGGGATCTGAACCTGTGGCCTTGGTGTTATGAGCACCACACTCTCCCAGGTGAGCCACAGGCTGGCCCACACTTCATATTTTTTAAAATGCATTTTTATATTTTAAAAAATGCCATTGCTTTTCTTGCTGAACCATGTGAATAAGCTTCACACTGCCCCTAGTCAGACTAGATA